TGAATTTGATTTTGATTAGTTCTCTCCTGGAGAGGTCTGATCTGAGACACTGTTTTGAGTGAAAACATCCAACCAGGAGGGGCCCCAAATAATAGTATAAACAGGAGCTCTGGAGTCAAAGAAAGGTGTCAAAATCGTAGTTCTCGGGCAAGCAACTCCACCTTTCTCTAAGCCTCACTCTTCTCATCTGAAAAATGGGGGCAGGACCGTTCGTCTCGTGAGGTCGTTGTGAGGGTTGAGGAGGCGGTACATACATCCCCGAGCAAGAACCAGGCGGAGAGCTGGGCCCTCACGAGTGGCTGCAGTTGCCACCGCTGCTCTGACCGGTGCAGCCGCTCCCATTTGAGGGCACCTCTGCATTTCCAAGGCATTTTCACCAGGTCACCTCCCCTGCTTCTCTGGCTCCTGGGCACGGTCTGGAGCCAATCACCGTCAACACAGCTCAGAGCTTTGTCTGCCTGGGGCCTGCTCCCTGCCAGACTGGACCCAGCTCTGGTCCTCTGGTGGGTAACGTGCTGGGTGTCATTCCTGCTTCTGTCTGCGTGGGGCTCCTTGGCCCAGCTCCGGGGCTCCTGGGGGCTCTCACCCAAGCATCCTCAGGGCCTGCTCCCTTCTGGCTTTCCGTCAAGATGTACTTCTATCCCCCAAGTTGTAAGGCAAAACGTGGGAAGAGAGGAAAGTCCCTATTTTGTAGATAAAGACACAGAGGCTCAGCGAGGGTGGTGTCTGGCTGAGGCCTTGGCTGAGAATTAGTTTCAGAGGCCAGAATCCACGTAGGGTCCTCTGGCTACTGACTGAGAGTGGTCAGTAAATGAAGCCCGCTATTGGATGCTATTTTTATGGAGGTGTGAGCCCCCTGCAGTGGACATCAGGTGTGTGTGGCAGCCACCAGGGCCATTCCTGACATAGTTCTGCTTCTTTCCCTTCTGAGCACATGGTAGGAATACATTCACTGGCCCTTCCTGGATGCTAGGAATGTCCATGTGCCTTGCTCTGGCCAATGAAACATGAGTGACAGTGTTGTGTTACTTCCGGGTGAAAACATTGTAAGAGCCAGTGCCTAACTCACCACAATCTCCATTCCCTCTCCAGGGAGACTCCGTTGGCCTGGATCTCTGAGCAACTACAAAGATCAGAGCCCTCTGCTTACCCACAGTGGACAGGAAGCATGAAAAGTGAACCTTTGTTGTGTTACTCCTTGAAGATCTAGGGGATGTTTGTCACTGCAGCATAACCTAGCCTATCCTGACTGATACAATGTGAACATTGACAGTGACAGTTTACTTACAGAGCACCCTCTGTTAGCTTTATCTCGGGTACAGGAGGAACAGAGGTTGGTCAGACACGACTGCCCTCACGGGGCTTGTAGTCTGGACCCCCATTTGAAAGGAAGCTGCCCACACTGAGCTTGAGGGAGAGGCAGGCCCGGGTGAGGGGCATCTTGTCACCTGGTGAATGGCGGCATACCCCTAAGCAGAAACCCCCTGCTGTTTGCAACATCCACCAAGAGTGGAAGGTGAACCTGGGAAAGGATGACTGCTACAGGCAGCTTTTCTTAGGGGAGGGGAGAGAAGGACGGGCTGTAGCTGGGAGGGCGGGGTGGGGGAGGCTGGCTGAGGCTTCTGCGCTTAGGGTGACTCTGGGATTTATTGCCTCATTTTACTACTCAGTCTTGAGGGAATCTACAAAACAATTAGCGGATTCAATCGCATTAAACTAATTCCTCTTTTACATCTCCTAACTCAGATAATGACAGCTTTCCCGCAATTAGGAGAGGGTCTCCTCCATGTGTAGATTAACTGGGTGTTAAACAAGCAGGGCTGCCTGAAACCAGACGGCCGAGCTGGTGGAACAGCAGCTCCAGGCAGAGGGTGAATTAATTCATTCATGACCCTGGGCCGCTGGAGACTTGGAGGTGCCCCCTGAGTAACACAAGGCCAGGACTTGGGAGGGGGTGGCCAAGGAAGAGGGGGCAAGGTGAGGGCAGGGACAGAAAGGAACTGGAACGGGGCCCCCACCCTTGTGGGAGGCCGATTTTCCTTCAGCTCGGTCCATGGTCTGGGTCACCCACGTGCGCGGGGGTGCTCTAATCCGATGTGCTCGCTCCCTTTTATAAAGCCTAAGACAGATCTTGGCATAACAGAAATGCTCAGTCCCAGGCTCTTATTACATGCCAGCATTTATCTGCACTAGTGCATTTAATCCTCACCACCTCCACGCTGAGACTATTATTATATACTGTGTTTCAGAGGTTAGGCGACCTGCTTAGTAGTGAGTGTGGGATTCAAACCAGATGCCCTGACGCGAGAGCCGGCACCCTCGCGGTAACTGACCTGGGATCTCAGTGGGGAGGAGCTGCGTGGCCCCATCACCTGACGCCTGCAGAGGCCTGCGCCTGCGCCATCCTTCCAGCTGTGCCTGGCCCCCGTCTGTGGAGGGGTGGGGACTGGGGTGGTAAGTTGTAAAGCCCTGGAGGCCAGAGGCTTTCTGGATGGCTGGGAAGAGGACGTGGGAGAACTGCAGGAAGATGAAGGCCACGTGTGTGTGTCAATATGCAGGCATGTGAGTGTATTTTTGTGAGTATGTGTATGTTCATGTTTTTATTCATTTTACTTTGTGATCTGGGTGGCCTCGGGCCCAAATCCCCTGGGGGCCATCGGAGAGATTGTGCACAAGTGCCCAGCTCTCTGGGCTCAGGACCTCTGAGTTCCCCAGAGTCAGAGTCAGGATTACCAGTTGGAAAATACTTGCTCCCCTCCCACTCCGCTGTGGGCAGAGCACACTGCCCCACCCCACTGACCCAGGGCTTGGCTATCATTTGCTTTGGCCAACAGAATGTATGGAAGATTCAAGATCACCGAAAATTCTTTGCCACTCTTCCCATCCACAAAAGGAATCCTCTCTGCTCCTGCTGTGCTACACGAGAGAGAGGTTAGCCTGGGTCCCACGAACAGTGCAGCACCCCAAGTGCCCCACGCTGTGCACCTCACCCCTCTAAGCCCCTGCCTCGGGCAGCCCCTGCTGACAGATCTGTCCCAAACCAGCCTTCCATCCTGGAGGTCTCACCCGCCAGAGGCCCAGGGCAGGGCACTCAGGCTTTCTACTGCCTCAGCCTGGAAAGTGTGTGTTTGGATGGCGTGACATGATCCCAAAGGTGTCTGTAGAGGGTTAAACGGTAGCTCCCCCAAAAGATGTGCCCACCTGGAACCTGTGAGTGAGATCTTCCTTGGAAAAGATGTCTTTGCAGGTGTAATTAGGTCATGCAAATATAATTAGTGCAGGATCCTGAGATGAGATCATCCTGGATGTGAGTGGCCCTAAAGCTACCGACACTGTCCTTAGGTGAGAAGCCACAAAGGAGACAGTGATGGGAGAACAAAGGCAGAGACGGGGGTGTGGCATCTGCAAGCCGAGTGACACGGGCCCCACCAGAAGCTGGAAGAGGGAGGCTCTCCCCTAGAGCCTTCAGAGGGACCGTGGCCCTGCCGCTCTGCCGACACCCCGATTTCAGACTCCTCCACTCCCTTCCCTCCCACTCAAGATCCCGCTTTGGAGCGTAAAGGCCAATGTCATTATCAGAGGAGGGTCTCGCATCCACTCTAATTTACGTATGGAAGAAATACACAATGTTTCAAATGACTTAACTACTTTGTCTTTTTCAAACTATTTAAAACTTTTAGCTAAGGGCTGGGAACATGGTCACATGACTCAAGACCCCTGGTGCAAATGGATGCCGGAAGGGTTTCCACCTGCGACAATACGCCAGGCTTACCTTTCTCCTGCGCCATCTCCTGCAGACAGAAGTAGATGACTCTGGCTCCCAGGCTGAAGCCGATCAAGGTGACAGGCCGCCGGCCCTGGGGGAGAAAGGACACAGGTGTTGGGGGGAGGGTGCAGAGCCAGTCCTAGCAAAACAGCCACCCTGACAATGGCAGCCCTGGCACACTGCTCAGCGCCTGCTTCGCACTGAACGAAGCACGCCCGTGCTATTCCCGGCCCTGAGCTCTGATGTCTCAATCAGGAGAGTCGGGGCCCTTGTTTATGTAGCGGTGCACCTGCCGCGGGAGCTGGCTTCTTCCGAGGCGGCTGGCTGGGTTAACTCCCTTTCATCACACATCATTACCCTGCCTCCGTCTCTCCTTCCACATCTCCCTGTGGCCAAGGACTGCAGTGAAGTGGTGCCCTTCTGGAGCCAGGAGAGGAGGCAGGAGGTGCCCCGAGGTGCAATGGGGAAGAAGGCAAAGAGTGACATGGTGGAGGGGGACAACTGTTCTCTTCCTAGATGGGAAAGCGGGATGTGAAATATTGGCCTTAAACTACAAGAAAAGGTAGTAAGTTAGGTATAAAGAGGAATTTTCTGATGAAAGAACTTGTAGAGAAGGCAACTCATAAGAAAAGGAAAGTTATGTGGGCTATTTGGGTACAAGTTCTTTTTTTTCCCCAGATATGAAAGTATCCTTATTATCTGGTGGATTATTTAGCTAGGAATGGAATTCTGTATTAAAAACCAATTTCACTGGAAATAGTGATTGTCAGATGGGATCAAGCTCTAATATCGGAAAGTCTGGTACATTTTGAGTTCTTGTTTGCCTGTAGAAAGTTTTGGGGTACAAATTCTACATGGAAGGAGCTGATGGGTTCCAAAGGTCCAGCTGATCTCAGGACTCTCTCCCTGTCCCTTGTTTTTGTGCCAATATATGCACCCACCCTCCCCCACCCCATCTCCATTCACTACTGTGGAAACCCTCCATCAAACAGTATTCCAGCTCTGCAGGAACTCCATGACAAAGGCTGCCGGTTATCATTCCACACCCATCCTCCCTTTGCCCTTGGTTATTAAAACCCCTGAGTTTTTCTGGGCCCACAGCTACCCAGCCAAAGACTAAGTTTCCCCAACTCCCCTGCAGCTATGGATGGATGCAGGGCTGAGTCCTGGCCAAGGGATGTGAAAGGAAGCAACAGGTGCTACTTCTAGGTGCACCCTTCATTCTCCTTTCCCACCTCTGACTGTCTGGACTGTGGATGGACCTCTGACCGTTTGACGTGGTGTTTGGACCACTGAAGATATGCTTAGCGGTAGCTCTATACTCCTAGGACAGAACACCTGGACTTGTCCGTACCTACAGACGCCTCTTTTTCTCAGTCCTCACCTGATTACTTGCTAGAGATGCAGAGTTTATCATTCTTACTGGTCATTCATTCCTAGGACACTTTTGTCACTTGAACTGGAGGAGCAGTGAAGACCATTCACTCCCTCAAAGCCACTGGGCTACCCCGACGTGGGCTTGTCTTAGATATGATGTCTGTGTGTAAGTCAGCCCCCTTGCTTCCCTGCTCCCCGTCTTCCTCCCCGCGCCCCACTATTCCCAGGTACCTGCTGCCGGGAGAGCAGGATGTGGGCCAGGTGCTTGCCAACCTCTGCTGATCGATGCAGACACACGCCCCAGGGATTGTCGATGACATTGGCGACCGAGAGGAGGGAGGCTGGCCACGTCAGGGCAGCCACAATGCCTGGGGAGGTGGGAAATCAGTGATGAAGGCAGTGGTGTTAGGGGGTGGAGTGCTTTCTAAGGAAGTGATCGGCTGGCTAACGGATGCCTGAGTGAATGCATGCAGAGTCTTTTGGAATCTATAAGGTTTCTAAGTGTTGTCAAACTACTAAATAGTAAAGAAGAAAACTGAAGCTCATGCATCTATGATACATGGACCAGATCTCATGTGTCCAAACATCTGCCGTGTGTGAGATTCCAAAGATGGCCCCCATTTGTCACTCCACCCTGCATTCTCCCACTTGGCCTCATAACCTTGCAGTGCCCCCTGTCCCTGCCCTGCCCTGCCCATCCACTCTAGGCTCAGTCGTGTCTTGGCTTTGGTCAATGAGATGTTACTAGATTCGAGGCTTGAAATGAACCCGCGCCTCTCGTGCACCTCTACCACGGGTGTGGGCTAGTCTGAGATCCCTGGAGAGGAGGAGAGACAAATGGAACAGAGCTGAGTCACCCTCGTGGCCCCAGGCCAGGCTGGCCTGATCAGTGGACAGTCAGCTGACCCACAGATGCATGAGCAGGCCCAGCAAAGAACAGGCAAATGAAGCCTCATGACTCCTGAGCTACTGTGATAAATGATTGTTATTTTAAGTCACTGGTTTGTAGGATGGCTTGTTATGCAGCAATTACTAACTGACACACCATGGGATAACGTGACTGGTTGTTTATCTGTCTTCTCCCTGCAAAACCCATAAACTTTTCACAGACAGGAATGCAGTCTTTGTCTCTCTGTGTTCCTAGGGACCAGCACAGTGCCTGGCTCAGGGTAGGGGAGAGGGGGAGGCTTACCGGACAACACCGTGTACTTTAGGGCCTCCTGGGCCACCATGTTGGCAAGACCACTGAGGATGGTCTCCAGGGCGTTGCCGAGCTCCATCAGGTACTTGGCCTCCCAGGCCAGGCAGTACTGCTCGCGGCTACGGGCCAGGGCAGCCCATGGGGCGCTGAAGGTGCCTGGGGAGAGCGCAGGTAGGTGGGGTCTCTGCTGTCTGATAGAAGAGGCCCCACCTCACTTTTCCAGACAGCAGCAGAAACCCACTCTCCGGTGGTGGGAGACAAGAGGCCCATCCCCCGCAGCTGACAGCGAGCAGACGGAGCCCCCAGCAGCCTGGCAAGGTTCACGTCCTGCGTTCATTAGTAGCTGGGCGACCTTGGGCGCATCACTATCCGTGCTGAGCCGCACTTTGCTTAGCCGTGAAGTGGAGAGACTGGCATTTATCTCTCTTCATTGACTAGTTGTAAGAATTAAATATTTGAACTACTATATATGGAGAGCGCTATTTTTTCTCATTCTGAAGGAATTCTGACATCCGGCTGCTGAGGGTGGCAAGAGGGATATGCAGGCGCACGAGCAGCTGGCAGCATCTTGTTCAGCAAACACTGCCTGGGAAATTGTCTCCAAATCTGGGGCGAGGTGTCCGAGCCCAGCTCGGCCATGACCTCACTGACGCACTCGATTTTTCTGAGCCTCCACTTTCTCCCGCAGGGACTAGAAATGGGAGGATGATGACAGCACCACCACGTGACGAATGTCAAGCAGGAAAATATAACCACGACTGTCTGTCCCGCTTTCTTCCTCCCTCCTGGAGAGGATAGTGTCACCTCTCCAGCGGGACACTCAGGTCCCCTGTGACCTGGCCCCCGCCTTCTTCATAGCCTGATCATTTGGCAATTCCTGACTTAACACATTACCCTCTGGAAACACATGCCTTTGACTTGTTCATTCATTCATTCATTCCACAGAATGGAATGATGGCATCTGACTCACAGGTGTTGTGGGGACCACAACGAGAGGCTGCACACCAAGCATTACATAAACGGTAAAGTGCTGTCCTGCATTCTATCCGCCCCGTGGCCAAGAACATGGGCTATGGAGCAAGACAGAATGAGAGTGAGTTGTGCCCCAGTCCCTGACCAGCTAGGTGACCCTGGGCAGCCCTTTTAAGCTTCAGTTTCCTCATCTGTAAAGTGTGGGTGATAATGACACCCACTTCCGTGGCCTGAAGTGAGGGACTAAGTGAGCCGATGCTTGTGAAGTGCCTGGGTTGGTGGTGAGCTACAAAATCATCATCACCATTACACAGAGTCCTATTTCAAAACGGGGTGGACTGAAGAATGTCCAACTATTCCAGTCAGACGCAGAAGCAAGCCTGTGATGATACAAGACTTCTTTCCCGGCTGTCAAGGAGACAGGACGAGGTGACGCATTTCCCTCCTGACCTTCATCTAGCTTGGTTAGAGTTCTTGTAACCACCCCCTCTGCCTGGGGAGCATACTGCCCTGGGCTGCAGGAGGAGAATACTGAATTTTCTCCCCCCAAGATAAACTTGACTTTGACCTGGGGCCAATCCAGCAATGGGGGTAAAAGGACCATAAGGGATTTGCTTTCCATATTGGTCTGAATTGTAAATCCCTTCACCTAGATGCTTGCTCTTGCTCCCTATTTTCTGTAGCATGGATGGTATCATGAAATAAATGAAGAGGAACCCATGAACATTGGTCAGGAGACCTGGGTTCGAATCCTGCATCTGCCAGTTGTCTGCCGCGTGACCCCTCCTGGTTTCCTCTTCACCAGATCAGGATGAGAACAGCCCCCACCTCAGAGGGTGGACGTGAGGGTCACGTGGGTGGAATGCCTGACTCCAGGGATGTGCGCGCTAGGTGCTCGGTCAGTGTCAGAGACCAGGGACGGGGCCTGGCGATCACACACCAGGAAGACTCTGGCGCCCAGTAATGCCTCTAAACCCAGCCTGAGCATTTTCTCACTTGCTTTCTTCTGTGTCGTTTAGAAGAGTTGTGACTTCCACCCTTGGATCCCAGGGACTTGGGGACCCAGGAGGCTCTAGCACGTGGGTCTGCTTGGGACACTCCAGACTCCCTGGCCCACCCTGCTGTCTCTCTGAGTGATGACCTCTTTGTGAGCCTTGCACTAGGCACTTGCAAAAGTGAGCCAGCAGTAAGCGGCCCATGGTGTTGTTCCTCAAGGCCACCCTGGTCAGAATCCTCCCAAAACACACATGTTCAAATTACAGCAGCAAGGGGGACTCATGTTTGTGGGATGCCACTAAAAACCGGGTGCCTTCCACATGTCACCTTGTTGAATTTAACCTGTGTAAGTACCCCGAAAGGCAGGAATCATTTTTCCCTCTTTATAAATGAAGCAGCTGAGGCACAGAGAAGTTAAACAACTTGACTGAGGTCACACAGCCAAGATGTACTGATCTCTGACTGATGTGTTGAAAGTCTTTCTATCTGCTACTTGCTCTGAGGATAAATTCAGACTCCTTGCCACATCTCACATGCTCCTGCCCGATCTGACCCTGCCCATACTCCCGCCTTCCAGCTCCCTGCTCACGCCATCCTGTGCTTCTTTTGGATCTTTTGCACCATCAGGCTTTTCTATGTGCTGCCCCTTTGCTTGGTATACACATCTTGCTCCTTCTTTATTTGGCTAATTGCCAGCCAGTCCTTAGCCTAAACGTCACTTCCTCTAGTAACCTCTCCCTCATTCCCCAGAAACACTCTGTTTCTCCCCTTTTGTACCTTCCATTGACCTTCCCTATGATTACTTGCTCAATGGCCTGCTTCTGCCTTGGACCACACATTCCACAGAAGCAGACACTATGACTGTACTGCTCACCACTGAGTTCCTAGGGCCTGGCTCAGTGTCTGGCACATGGTGTGCACAGCACTCTATAAACACTGCTGAAAGGATGGACTGATGAGTGGATGGGTGGGTGAGTGGATGGATGGATGGATGGATAGTTAGATGGATGGATGGACAGATGATGGATGGATGGGTAGTTGGATGGATGGATAGTTGGATGAATGGATAAACAATGGAGGCAGGGATGATAGATGGATGATGGGTGGATGGATAGTTGGATGGATGGATGGATGATGGCTAAATGGATAATGAATAGATGAATGGGAAGATAGATGTTCAATGAAGTCATCTCACCTCTCTGAGCCTCAGTTTTCTCCTCTGAAAAATGGGACTCTCCTACCTACCCCTCTAAAGACATACACAGGCAAGAACCTGACCCAGCTCAGCCAAGCCCCACCCTCGTCTGCATCCTTCTCTGCCCCTGGTCCTCACGGTATTTGCCAGATGCCAGCCACCCGGTGATGGCGATGGTGATGTGCAGCTGCCTGCCTTCTGACAGCGGCAGAAATGTGAACTCTTCAATGGCCCCGACACGCTTCTTCATCTTGTACCCTAAAGATCCAGACACAAAAGTGAGAATGGGGTGACTGGGGACCCTGGGGAACATTCGGCAGAGTGGCTGTGTACTCAACACTCAGACAGTGAGCACCAACCCTATGCCCTCCATAAACATCTTGTTTTTAAACTCCGTAAAGGTCAGTGCCTTTACTGTCCCAATTACAGATGAAGGTAAGAGGCTCCTGAAGGCTGGATACCCCTGGAGTGGAGCAGACTCAGAGCCCGGGCTCACGGCCACTGCTCTGCCTGACTTAGCTGGCTCTCTATCTTTTTTCCTGCCCACGAACTTCAGGGGTAACACACTCTTCTCAGTAAAAGTGGTTTGAACTGACCAAGATCCACATGTCCCTTGGGAAGTGGACCAGGACTCTCTGGGTGTGGTTTGTGGGCTGTTGACCCACATGACTTGGAAAAACTTCCCCAGGTGATGCTGGTAAATGAGGGGCAGCCACACGTCCTCCTACACAAGAAAGCCCAGGTGTCTCCGAGGCAGCCTGGAAGCTTCCTGGACGCTGACAAGCAGGTCCCGTCTCAGGAAGTCTACACAAGGAGCAGTTTCTCAAAGTCAGCCCTCCCCCAGACCCATGCCAAGCTCCCAGCCCAGTTCTCTGTGGAGCCTGCTACAAGTTATGGCAAGGAAGAGAGCCACATCCTCCTTCTCCGTCTCCTGGGGAGCCATTACTGGTGAGAATCTGGGTGTGTCTGTTAAGGAGCTGGGCCACCCGGGCCGGGCCCAAAACCCCTCATCGCCTGCCACTCCTTTTTTTTTAACCTCTATTTTTTTAAAAAATGTATTTATTTTGGAAGGGGAATTAGGTTATTTATTTATTTAAATGGAGGTACTAAGGATTGAACCCAGGACCTTGTGCATGCTAAGCCCGCGCTCTACCACTGTGCTATACCCTCTCCCTCTGCCTGCGCCTCTGTTTCTTTGGAACCTTACCTGTCAGGCCCGCTCCAGCGGCACCGAACAGCGAGGTCATGACAGCTATGCCGGCCACTGAGCCCAGAGCTGCCGCCCCGGCACTGCCAATGATTGTCGCGGCTCCAGCAGCAACAAGAGGGGCAGCTAGACCCCCAGTCACACCTGCAAGGAAAGTGGCCCTGGTGGGTAAGGGTGGGAGGGGAGTGAGAATGCCCGCTGGGTTCTTCCTCCATCAGCTGCCCACTGCCTCTCATGGGGGCTCCTGACAATACTAGAGAAAACACACTCTAGGCGTGCCAGGGGCCCCTCCTGGCTCACCCCCTGCTCTCCCCAGTCTTGCTCCCAGCCTGGCATCACCCCTCACCCTGCACGATGCCCTGGCCACGTGCCACCATCTTATCTTAAGGTGGCCTTACCGATCACTGTCCCGCCTCCGACGGTCGCCAGACCTATCAGGAGATAACGCTTCCACTTTCTCCGGTTCTCTTTCTTCTTCCGGGATGCCTCGGCCATTCTGGGGGAGAAGAGGTTGGTCTCTAGGGCTGGCTGGGCCTGGGATCCCCTGACACCCCCCCACCTCACCAGCCCCTAAACTTGAACCAGTGCTGGGTACTCTGATGTACAGAGCAAGGTACCAAGGTTACCCTGGGCCCATCGAGGGTTTCAAAAAGCTGAAAACATTCTAAAACCCAGCTGGGGAATCCCAGTAGGTGGGATGTGCTACTTACCCAATGGATCCATCCTAACAGGGTTGCAATTTGAATAATGAAAAGACAAAAAAAAATAAAATAATAGCAAAAGAAGCAAGAAATTATCTTTAAACAGATGGACCCAGAACAAGTACCAGACAGAGACTCCATCACCTCACTCCTCCCTTCCCCTCCCCCCACTCCTCCATCTGAGCCCACCTCCCTCTGGGACGTTTGGACATCAATTTCCTGCAGAATAATCCTTCCGAAGACGGATTAGAGAAATGTCTGTACTGGAGGTGACAGTCTTGGGGCAATAGCCAGAATTGTTCAGACTTGAAATTTTAAAGTGATAAAATGTAGTACAAGGGAAGCATTTAGAGTGAACTGGGGTCAGGTGAGTCCTGAAAATGGCCCAAGAGCATCACTGAGCCCAACTTTCCTAGCTGACATTCAACCCTCGGTACTTCGGAGGCAATCAGGAGCAGGACGGGAGACTGAGGGTGGGATGGTGTGCACGTTACCAGTGTGAACTCCGAACCGAAGTTGGAGTTTGGACCACAACTCAGTGTGCAGAACGACGGCAGGGGACTATGGAATAGTTAATATTTATTGAGGACTTCCAACATGCCTGCCACTGTGCTTTGCACTTCGCATGGTTTATCTACTCCTAGAAGCAGTTTCATTATTGTCTGCACATCACAGATAAGGTCAGAGATAATAGTACCCGCCTCTTGAGCAGCTGTGGGGCTCAGCAAAGAGCATGACAGTTGACACTGCATGTGAGGACCGCATCGGTGGCTGTCACCATGACACTCCATTTCCCTGAAACTCAGTTTCCCCTTCTGTACAGTGGGGATAATCACGTCTCGGTTTGTAAAGATTAAATTCATTCCTTCTCCATCCATTCAATCAACAAACTTCTACAGAGAGTGGGCTGGCCCTTCCGGGTGCTACGTGTCCCATCTCTCTCCTCCTGAACCAGACGTGACAGCAAGAAACAGTTCATCCTCCTGTGGTGGTCGAAAAGCAGTGGGATCTGAGTTGGGTATTTGAGAACCTGCTGTGCTTTTTGGTGGTCTGCCAGCTCACATCAACCAACTTTCCCCTAAGCACCTCCTGGGCGCACAGGACAGCACCTCTCAGTCGCTTCACTATGGAGAAGCAGAAACCAATTCATGATCGCAGAGGCTGGTCTGCCATGATTGAAATTCACGACACCAGACGTGTGAGATGAGGCTGAACCATGCCCATCTAGGGAAGGAGAAGGCAGGATGGTGGTGGAGGGCATGGTTCTGATGCCAGGATTCAAACCCTGTAAACCAGGCTTGAATCCCGTCTCTGCTGTGGTGGTGTATCACTGCTCACCAGATATCCAGTTAGCCCTCCAGGGCTGGGCCTCCCTATGGAAAGATTATACATCTCTGCCCTGTTGAACTGAATGGTTCCATGACCCGCATTAGCCAATGAAATACAGGTGGGAGGGATATGTGTCACTTCTGGCAAAATCTTTAAGAGTCAGTGCAGGAGCCTGATAGGTCTCCTTTTGCTCTGCCCTGAGACCAGCAACACTCCAGACAGTGGTCATTCTGTCAACCTGGGACCCAGAACCAAGACTGTGTGGACTAAAGCCACAGCCAATCTGCAAGAAATGCACTTTTGTTGCTGTAAGCCGTTGAGACGTGGTCATCATTTGTTATTGCAGCAAAACCTCGCCTATCCTGATGGACAGAGACTTTTACTAACCTTGTGACTATGCACAAATTATTTGTCCCGCCTGACTTTCCTCATCCATGAAGCAGGAACGAAAAATAGCACTGAATTCCCAGAGGTATCAGGAGGGCAAAATGAGACAGTCCGCGTACAGTGACTGGCATGTTGCAATCATTCAATATGTTTGTTCTTATTATCACTCCTTCCACGATTACGATAATTTCCTCTTAGACACAGGCTGGAGATATACTTTGGCCCTTAATAGCTAGCACCATTCAGGGCAAATAGGAAAGCTGTAAGTTAGCTGTTTTCAGCCAAGTTCAAGGCCTGGGGAAAAATTCCAGCTGCTGGGGGCGGCAAGAGGAATGCTCAGGGGCACGAGCAGCTGGCTCTGTGAACCGGCAGCATCTCGTTCAGCAAACACTGCCCAGGAAATCGTCTGCAAATCTGGGGCGAGGTGTCTGAGCCCAGCTCTGCCATGACCTCACTGGCTCACCTGATTTTTCTGAGCCTCAACTTTCTCCCGTGGGGACTGGAAATGGGAGGATGATGACAGTACCACGTGACCAATGTCCAGCAGGAGAGTATAACCATGACTGTCTGACCCCTCGCTCCCTCCCAGCCCTTCCACTGCCTTGAGGATAGCATGACCCTCAGGCCCCCTGTGACCTGACTACACCTCAGTACCTGTGTTCTTGCTGGCCCTCGGATGCCAAGGACCCTCTTACTTTCTTACCTTCCTTTGTCTGGCTAAACATTACTTATCTTTCAAGAGTCACCTCCCCCAGGAAGCCTGCCTGAGCCCCAAGGTTGCCTAAATGCCCTGACTCTGGGCCCTTCTAACCTTCTGTACTGTATTAGCCTGGAATTCTAGACTATTGATTTTTCAGAGAGTGAGCTTTGGATCAGCTGCGTCAGAATATCCAGGGGGTCGCTGATAACAGCACCACTTCCTGGCCAGAAGCTCTGGGCATGAGGATGAGCAAACCACCTGTAACAAGCTCTCCAGAGATCTACGACATCTCTAGTCTGAGAATCACAGGGCCCAACCCTCAGGGCATGGATCAAACGTTTCCTGCTCTCCACCCTCAGCAGCTTGTCCCTGGAAGGGGCTCAGAAACTGTTTCTTGAACGAAATCTACTCATTCCAGCAAGGACTGGACGTGAGCATCTTGCTGCAGGGATCTGTTCTCCCACTCACTGTCCATTTCTATGAAAACCAGAGGTCACGGAATAAGATGTTTTGGTTAAATAAAATATTCAGCCAGAGTACAGGCCAATCACCATCAAGAATGAAACTTCTGGAATATCGGGACAAGTCTAGGATGTTATAAAAATTTGACGATCTGTTATTAAGAACATAGTCAAATTCTTGAGTTGGTGCCCTTGACACTCAGCCCCGTCTGCTTCTAGATTGTTCCTGCAGTGACACCTGCACATCAATGATACTAGACCGTCTTCACTTTTAGCTGAGTTTATGGAGGGGCAAACTCACAGCCTAAAGGGAATAAAGTAATGAAAAGTAAATGCAGTTCTTGAAGCTGTTTTATTTAAATGTATGAATGCTAGTATATCAGATTAATTTTACAAAGACTAGATGGGTGATAGACCCCAGTCTGCAGTATTCTGCTCTGTATTATTATTTAAATGTTTATAAACACTTGCTGAAAGCTAAGGCACTCTCTCAACACGCACCTGAACTGTCAACCGATTTCCTTGTTTATTTAAGTACTTGAACGCTCTTAATAATACATAAAACGAATAGCTTTCCCATTAATCATTAATTATCACGACATTTCACCCCTGCAATAAACTTCAATTGTCTGGTTGAATTTCAACATCTAAAGCACAAGCGGAGACGCTGGCTCTGAGTCACCACATCCACGATGCTTCCTATATTTGGAAGCGAGAATTCAGAACATGACACTAAACCCAAACGAAGCCCTCCTCCTGTTACTGACTTTGCCTGCTGGTGAGGCACCACGGCAATCTGTGTCATCACAGAGCCGCTGGCCACACTCGTGACCTGGGATCCCAGAAGTGACCTGGAGCTGGCGTTCCACGTCAACCTTCCGAAGACAGGCTGAAGCCAAAACGCAGCGCTGGGCCGAACCCCTGGCTGACGTCAGAGATACCTTGTCGAGAGCAAAGATACCACACTGCCCATCTCGTGGTCCCACAGAGAAATTTCACTCGCCGCCACCTTATCTCCCATGACAGGGTGTCCCTTACCCTTCCTGTCCTCGCCACCACCCTCTTCTTTTGTTAAAATCACCTACTCCAGTCAATAGAGAGGGAACACTTAGCACTGGGGAGTCTAGAGATATAGCCCTCGTAAAAGCTCAGAAAGCCCCATAAAAGGATTATCTTTACTGCTTCCTTCAGAATTCAGGACGGAAGCTGGGCTTGTCAACTGCGCTTTAAGGGACCTGGTAAGTGACTTGCAGACTGGATGAGAAGCTTCAATCAGATGGTGCCACTGACCAGCTGGGTGACCTTGGGCCACTTATGTCACCCCACTGACGTCCTGTTTCTTCCTCTGCAAAAGCCTCAGGGGATTGAAATGAGCACCAAATGGGAAGACATCTTGTGCCTAGATGCAGATCTAGAAAATGCTCTAATAAAGGTTAGATGTCGACCATGTTATTACGGTGGGCTCAGTGTCAACCTCCAGCATGGCATCAGCTAATGTTTACTGTGTGCCAGGCGCTCTTCAAGCTTCAGGTATGTGTTACTTAATTTAATCCTCTTGACAGCCCTATGCTGAGAGATCAGTACCACTACCCCTCTGTTAGGGATGAAGAATCCGAGGCACAGAGAAGTGAAGTCACCAGACAAGCAGGGGATGCCTGGATCACCTCAAGGCTCAGATGGGGACCCCAGAACAGAAAGGTGGGGCAGCTCCCCCGAACCTCGGCTGCAAAGAATCACCCTGGGGTGCCAAGTGATCAGCTCATCTTGCAGAAACACAAAACTTTAGAGTGAAAAGAAACCTACATATAATTCGATCCTCTACCTGTACGGGTGAAGAAACAAACAAACAAACTGGTGCAGGTGCCCAGAGACGGAAAGCAATGCACCCAGGGCCACACAGAGACTTAGCAACAGAATCAAACCAGAACCAGGCTGCTTGGCCGACCAGTCACTGTGTTTCTCTGGGTCTCAGACCCTTCCAGAGACCACAGATAGAACCCGAGAGGTCTCCAAAGTCCCTAAAACTGAGTTAAAAAAATGACTCATGTGGAGTATTTTTCCAAGGAAAGGGCCCACGCGTAGTAGTAACAGCGGTGATAAGAGTCCTGTAGCAAATACTGATACTGAAGAAGGTGCTATCATACCCATTTGCAGGTGAGGAAACTGAGGCCCACGGACGTTCAATAACTTGCCCAAGATCACACAGCCAGTAAGTGGCAGAGCTGGGCTGTTTTACGTATTCCCTGATCTGGCATTACTGGTATGATCAGAACAAATCTTCTGGGTAATATGTTTCTTTCTGACAATAGATTTCCAAGCAATATCTAAGTGTCTCCTTTGTTTCAAGGCATATTTGAAATGGTACAAATGTCCAATAAACCCAAAGGTTCTGGGCAGCCCTTGTGATTACAGTGACTGGCCTGGATCCAGGTGTTTCTTTATTGACACAGCTCTGGGAGTCAAAACAAGTCTATTTTCAGGTTATTTCAACAGACCAAGTTTCCTCCTTTCTCAAGGAAACAACCCCCTCCCTCTGTCCTACAAACCCTGGTGGGAGGGCGGCTCCTGTTCTGAACCTGAATTGAGCTTCAGAGCTCAGTTCCCAGCTGGGCTGAACTGGCACAGCCTGGCTGCTCCGAGAAAGCCACCGTGGCCGGACAAAAGCCATGACTGGGACATGTGACTGGTGCAAGGAGCCCGCAATTAGGCTGCGACTGGGACTGATCTATCACTGGGGGATTAGGTCCTGTGTAAGGCGTCCTGCAAAGAGCTGAGCTCTGGCCAAGTTACCAGGGTAATTGCCCTCTACACACATCTGACCATACACACAGGTCCCTCTACACACACCTGGCCACACACAGATAGCAAAGCCGCTACGGGGGCCCGCGGGGGTAGGGAAGGACTCACACATACCGAGCACTTGCTACGTGCCGGTCCTGGGCAGAGTACTTGATAGCATAACTACTTGTTCTCCACCACGACCCTAGCAGGGTGCTATTCTCATTCCCATTTTACAGATGAGAATATTGTGGCTTAGAGAAGAGGGGGCACCACCTGCCCAAGGTCAAAAAGTGAATGGGCGTCAGAGGTGGGATTTGAACCCAGGCCACTCCAGCCCTTGGACAAGGTGTCTCAGAGCTGAAATGGAGTGGGGTGTTGGGGCCACAGATTGTCAAAGTTACAGACTCACGGCCCTTAGCAATCACCCATTCAGTCCCCTTTCCCTACAAATGAGGATGGAGCCCAGAGAGGGGAAGTGACTTGTTAAGGACACACAGCAAGTCAGGGGTACACTAGAACTCTCTGTCCAGTGCTCCTTCCACCTCCATGCAGCATCTCTTAATGTGGGGAGGGAGCAGACATCTGAAAAGTGCACTCAAGTGGAAGTCCTCGATTCCAGACAGGCGGGGCCAGGGTCACAGGGCTCCCTTACTCAGATTCCTCCTCTTTGCTTTCCTTCAGGCTCTCAAGGAATGTCTCTTCCAGGAGATCCAGCTCCTCCAAGGGCACTCGGAGGAGGGAGGTCACGTGGCAAACGAGGACTCGTGCCCGCGCATCATAGCGTCCTCGAAAGACAGAAACAGCGGGAATCAGTTCAGCTTCTGAGCACAGAGATGTTAACAGCAGTGCAACTGATGAAACCCAAACCCTAGAAACGTCCTAAATGCACAGCCCTGCAAGAACCAGTCAGCTGAACAACTGGGCGGAACAGGGTGCAACTATTAAAAATATGAATCGGAAGCAAGGCGGCGTTTTTCACCAGCTGAATTAGCAAAGATCAATTTTTCACATCCCGAAGCTGTTAAGGAGGTAATGTCACAATTAGATTGGAATCCAACTCTACTGTGAACTAGAAGGTCCCTGGTCAACTCCATGACCTCACCTTCTAGAATGTTCCTGCTAGGGAGACTTTGCACCAGCTGTTCCCACCACCTGGAAGGCTCATTCCAACTCTTCTGGTGGGGCTCCTCCTCCTCATTCAAGTCTCTGCTCAGATGCCTCCTGCCCAGAGAGGCCTTCCTGACCCCCCGCCCCCATTACTCTGTCCCTTTGCCCCACATCTTGTTCTTCACAGAACTCGCCCTGCTCTGATACCATATTTGTTTACTTTTGTTTGGTTGTCTCTCCCCCCTGAGGTACAAACTCTCTGAGGGTAGCCTTCACCGCTCTATCTCCAGTCCTTAGGAGACTGCCCTGCGCAAATAATATTATATTTGGGTAAATGTTCAACTAATGACCTGACAGACCTGGGCACGGATTCTATTTGTGCGTCTAACCTTGGGCAAAGCTCATCTCGCTCAGGTGGAAGTGGACATAGTAAGAGTCACCTCACGAAGTTTCAAGGAGAGGACTCTGGGCCCACGGCGGGCCCTTAATAAGTGTTGCAGAATTGGACTCCTCTGCTGGGTGTCTACCATCCTATGCAATAATTTTATACTAAAGTGGTAGTGACTACCACTACTTCAGCATCTGCAAAATAAGCCAGTTCCTTCCATGAACGAGGGTCCCCAGAGCCCACTTGCCTTCAGCTGCCTCTCTAGGTGAGGCACTGTCCATGTGCCGGGGGGGTGGATAACCACATGCCATGTCTGCTGGTTATTGATCAGTTAAAGCTCCATGAACAAAGGAGCTCCCTGCTCCCCCGTGGAATCACAGACTGTTATACCCAGGTCATAATCGAGCTGGGGAAATTAAGCAAGCCTTGGTCAGGGTGATGAATTGGTGACAATTAATCAGCCACTAATTCATACTCCATTGGTCAAGGCTGCAGTAATTCAGTTTCTGGAATATAGACTGCCAGGTGCCCAGATGATTAGCCTCCCGAGATAGTCTCGGGCATGGGACTCTGGAACATTAGCCTCGTGTACGGCTCATTTCAAGGACCTTGACAGCCAGGCTGCCGGACTTGGAGCTGAGGTTCCATTTAACACAGGTGGTGGGTAGTGGGGGAGGGACAGGAGTCTTGGGCTACCGAGGACAACTTGCCAGGCAGCCAACTCACTCCTTGTCGCAATATAAGTCAGCCTCACATGATCTGAGGAGCTCTGGGTGCACTCGTGCCTGGAGGCAGTGCTGTGATCAAGACAGTTCCTCCTCCTACTGCCTCTGCAGCATCCATGGTGCTCCTGCCAAGTGCAGGGTGTCACTTGAGAAGCTGGCATTCACGATTGCTAATCCTCCCGACGGTCCAGGGAAGCTGGTATTACAATGTCTCATTTTGCACAAGAGAAAAGAATGGGTGCAGAGATGCTAAGAAACTTTCTAGATTGCACAGCTGAGAGAGTGGTGGGGTTTGGATTAAAATCCAGCATGCCAAAGTTTCTGTTTATTTCACTGTGGCTGTCTTTTTTTTAAATTTAAATTTAAATTTAAATTTTATTATTTTAAATGGAGGTACTGGGGATTGAACCTAGGACCTCGTGCATGCTAAGAACACACTTAACCACTGAGCTATACTCACCCGCCCTGTGGCTGTCTTTTAAAGGCAAATCTATTCAAGGAGGATTGAGGGTTTTAGGTCAATCCCACGTGATGAGCTGTGAACCCGCTCTTCTGTGTGCACGGGGTATGTGGGCTGCACACACAATTCCAGGCACAGCCACTGGCCACAGATGCACGTAAAAGAGACCCATCACCCAGGCAGCCTGTTCTTTGGAAAATCTTGTTGAGGGAGGCGGACTCAGGGACCCTGGCTCTGTCCCAGGGAGGCAGGATTACGCTGGCCTCCCACAACTGCTGGGCAGCCCTAGCTCTTACCCCAGACACCTCTGGAGCCCGACTGGTCCCTCTGGCCTAGGAAGAGCAAGGGACGGGTCACCAGAGTCACCCAGTGTGTTCATGATAGACCCAGAGGCAGAACCCAGTTTCCTTCTCCCACCAGCATTTTAATAGAGAAGCTGCTACACTTTGCACGTCACCATCCAACACTGTCCTGTGCACTGAAGGATGAACAGCACCCCTGGAGCTTGGTACTAAATGCCAGTCGCACCCTGGGCATTGTGAAAACCACAGCACCCTCCCCACATTTCCAAATGCACCCCTCCAGGGGGCAGTACAACCTCCTTTGCGAGACATTGAACCATCCCCCGTTCTCAGCATGGCTCTGAGTACGGGAACCAAGCCTGGATGGCCAGCTTGGGGTTGACCTTGCACCTCCTCGGAGAGCAGCTCAACCCCAGAACTTGGGGAAGAGGACACGGCCAGCCCCTCCCCTTTGCAGGCTGCCCTCAAGACCGAAGGAAAGGAACTCAGAAGCAGAAACTTTAGCCTTTGTTGCCACCCAGGCTGGGGTTTGCGTTTTCATCTGAATACCTGCAAGCTGAATGGCTTCGGGCAAGTTTCTTGACCTTTCTGAGCCTGTTTCCTTATCTGTGAAATGAGGGCAAGAGGATCTTTTGAATCTAGCTTTTTGTTGAGATGCAGTGAGGAGCTGCATGTGATGAGCCTGGCCAGCAGCCAGGATGCAGTGAGTGTTCAATAAAGTGGACGAACAGTACTCTTTTTATTTAAATGTCACATTTCCTCAGTCCTTAGATGCTAAGAAGCCAGGGCTGCTGGGGCGAGCTGCCTGCTGCTGTGTCTGGAAGGGGACCCTTCGTCCCGCCTCTCCCGAGGGTCCAAGGACACTTCCAGGCCATATTCAGACAACTACTTACCCAGCCCACAGCACTGCCATCCGGCAACTGACCAACTTTTCTAATTAGTACCTTTTATGTAACATTTAGAATATTTATTCCCATTTTCACCCTCAGTGAATTTTTTTTTCATATGAAGAAGCCATACCTTACTCCAGTCTCGCGCACCCCTCGGCCCCCTGCTGGGCACAAGGCTGAATCTTCCAGGTCTGCCCAGGGTCTTTACCTTGTGAGGCAGAGCACGGCTGGAGGGACGGGACTTTTAGGATGCACCCCATCACAGGGCAGACGTTGAACTTAAGATTGTTTCACACAACGTTGTAAAATGATTATAAATCAATAAAAAATGTTAAAAAAAAAGATTGTTTCAGGTGTGACTCCTGCCTTTTTTCTTCACGGTTTATTTGGGGGGAGCAGTTAAGGGCGTTAAGGGGGCAACAGGCTTACTGAAGGCCAGTGGTCACGGGAGCTGAGGGGGCCCTTCTGAGGTCCCCCTCCAGCGCCACCTTCTCGGAAGCTGCAGGATGGTTCCTCCGGCTCCTGCCAGAGGGGGCGCCCGCTCCTCGTTTTGGCCTCATCAAACCCCCTTAAAGTCAGCTGTAAGGATGAGGGATTTATCAACTTATTTCCAAGAGGGAAGCAGAACAGCGCTTAAGGGTGGACCCTGGAAACACACTGCCTGGGTTCGAATCCTGCCCCTCACTCTCCAGCTGTGTGACCTTGGACGGGTTATTTCACTCTCTGTGCCTCTTTTGTAAACTGGGAGACAATATTAGCATCTATCTTCAAGATGCTGCGGGGTTGTTGAGGGGTTTAAACAAATTATAAAGCACTTTGCTCAGGGCCTGCACACAGTAGGCACTCAGGGAGTATTGGCCCTGACTGGAACTACTCCCAGCGCCTAGCAGAGGGCCTAGTACACACAGCGGGTGCTCAGTTCTCATTTGCTGAATGGAGGAACCAGCCACTTTCAATACTAATCGCAAGCTTTACAAATCTTGAGGATCCTGACGGAGAACCTAGCAACCAAGAGACAATGTTTGCATTGCACCACGACCAAAGACCAACATCTCAAACCTTTTTGATTCATCGGGGAGGTAGGGTTTGCAGTTCAGTAATAAACACCAGGTCAGAAAGTAGACTCAAGTTTGCAGTAAAGATTGCCCTGTCTCCTGCGGCATGCCCCTCCTCGGGTCTCATGGCCTGGGGTTGATGCTATCTCTGGATTCAGAGTTCAGAGGGCAAAAGCCATGATTCAGTGTAAGTCTCTTGCGCCCTGATGCAGAGTTCATTCACCACGAGACTCGTTGCCTTAAATGGAATTTTGAAACGTACACTGAAATGTAAACCTCAGGTTACTCACTGTACCTCCTGAGCCTAACTTCCTATCAGTGGGGATAACAGTAACCTCTCTAGCAGCTGACCTGAGGATTATACACGATGAATAAATCATCATCTAGGTACAGGACTTAAAAGAGCAGCTAGGTAACTTACAGACTACCAACTACAAATAAACCAGCCCCACCTGAGATGGCCAGATTTGGGGTTCGAGATCAATGGCTCTCAACCAGGGACGTTTTTGTCCCCCTAAGGACATCTGGTAATGTATGGAGACACTTCTGGTGTCATGACTCAGGAAGTGCCACTGGCATCTAGTGAGTAGAGGCCAGGGATGCGGCTAAACCTCCTACAATGCACAGAGTGGCCCCACAATCAAGAATTACCCAGTCCCAAATGTCAATAGTGCTGCGGTTGAGAAATCCAGTTGAGAGTTAGCTCAGATTCAGTTTAACCTTCAGCATATAAAAGGCTTATTTTTCCAGTTGTGTGGGCAAGAAGCTTCGTGGGTTGTTACTGGATGAGGAGAAGAAAATGATTGGCGGGCACAAAAAATTCCACCCAGCTGCCAACATGGCACTGTTTTGTGACTAAGATCCCAATACTGTCAGTAAAAGTCAACCTTCCAGGAAGTTCTGAGAAATGCAGCTTTTCATATTGATTTCCTGGGCCGATTCCATGACTAATCACCCTGTCTCGCATCAGAGAGGAATCCCACAGCACAGACAGACAGCCTCCTTTTCTACTGCGTGTCCCACCCCATCAGTCTCTGTAGAAGACGGTTTAACTCTCGAGTTCAGACAAACGACCCTGCTAGTGTCTAAGCTCATGCTCTAAAGAAAGGCCATCCACCCTCCCCTCCATCCTTCCACCCATTCATCCTTCCATCCACTGATCCATTCATCCAACCCTCCCTACATCCCTTCATCCACCCACCCACCCACCCAACAGTAAATGCCCACCATGTCTCCATCAGGCTGCAGACACTGGGATATGATGGTGAATAAGCCAGACAAAGGGCCCTGCCTTCATGGAAGCTGCGGGAAAGGACTTGAACAACTGGCCCGACTATGACACTGACCTTCTCCTTACAAGATCTCTGACTCTGTTCTCAGGACCAAAGACAGTGCTGTTTTGTTTTCTCTGAAGTAGCCTCTAGTACTTGCCTCTCATTTGTATTTGAAGTTATAGTTCAGAGAAGTTATGTGACTTGATCAAGGTCGCACTACGAGAGTCTCAGAGACGGGATGAGAATCCAGGTTTCCTGGTTCCCAGGGCTTCCCCGTTTCACCACCAACCCTGTTCCCAGCAGCACTCACAGTCTGCTCCCAGCACGCCAGCTCTGTTCTGAGCGCTGTACCTGGGTTACTTCGTTTAATCCTCACCACTTCCCTATAACATAAAGGGTACTGTTGTTCCCATTTGATACCTGAGAAAGCTGAGGCACAGAGACATTCAGCAACTTGCCAAGGTAGAGCCTGAATTTTAACACTAGGTAGACTAGTCCCCAGATACTCCCAGTTCTTGGTCTCTGGTTCTTCATTAACAAGGACAGAGGTGGACATGACAACTGGTGGCAGGCCACTCCCACTCGGGGCCTCATTGTCTCAGCTACAGACAGACCTCATTTTCACTGCGCTTCACTTTACTGTGCTTTGTAGACATTGTGTTTTGTTTTCTTTTTGTTTTTTAGTAAATTGAAGATCTATGGCAACCTTGCATTCAGCAAGTCTATCCACGCTGTTTTTCCAACAGCATTGCTTTTTAATTAAGATGTGTACTTTTTCTTAAACACAGTGTTATTGTACACTTTAATAGACTACAGTATAGTGTAAATATACCTTTTACAGGCACTGGGAAACCAAAAAATTCATGTGACTCGATTTATTGGATTTATTGCAATATTCGCTTTACTGCGGGGGTCCGGGACTGAACCTGCAATATCTCCAAGGGTCACCTGTGCGTGATGAGAGGGTGGGCTAGGTGGCTTGAGGGTCGAGCTACCTCTGACCTCTGGGGAACTTCTCAGTCCTAGCACCTGCTCCCAAGGGGGTCCCAGCGTGTCACTGAAGCCACTCCTGTTTGTAGATGCTGGTGTCTGGTGGGGCTTTCAGATAAAACAAAGGCACCTCTCAGATGCTATCAGAGACTGGTGTTCTTTAGAAACGAGGTGTTATTATATTCCTGTGGGGATACCTCTGTGTTCCCCAACCCTCGTGAGTAACATCCGCTAAGGTTTTCGTTGACAGAAATGTTTCAGAATGTCCGGCTCTGCCACGTACCAGCTTAGGCCAGCACTTCACCTCTCCGAGCCTCAGTCTACTCACCTGTAAAGTGTGAGTGCCTACGCGAAAGGATGGCTGTGAGGATGGACTGCAGCAATGTTTGACAAGGGCCAGGTCCAGTAACCAGCATTAACAGGTGCTTAGTGAGTGGTGGTTGTTCTCAAGAAAAATTTAAAAGGCAATATTGGTTTAGAGGCTGCCTATGAGAATGTCCCAGGGAGAGCATGAAGTACCAGGCGATATTAGACAGGTCAGTGCAGTTATTCTTTGAGAGCCAGGCCAAGGTCACCCACAGCAAAGAGGGGTAAGTGAAGGTGTCCTGGGGGCTCGGGAGGGCTTGTGATTGGCAGGTGGGGGCAGGAAGCGGGCTAGGATGAACACGACTCTCTGGGTGAGGAAAGTCAGGGAGACACAGGAGCGCTGGGGTGGCTTCTCCTCCCCAGAGGTAAGGCAGTGGGACAGAGAGCTGGCCCAGGAGGCTGGAGACCTGGTTCTGACTCGTGGGCTGTTTCTGCCACTGTGTGCCTCTGGGAAAGCCCCCTCAGCTCTCTGGACCTCAATCTCTCCACCTGGAAATATGAGAGGCTCATCCAAGATGACCTTGGGCAGGTGAGTCTCAGGTCTGCAAAATGGGAACGACGGCCTTCAGCATCCCTCAGGGGGCCGAGAGGGCTCCAGGCCAGGCCAGCCCGTAGCACCAGGCTGGGCACACAGCAAGCGCTTGAGACCTGGAGCTTTGTGGTTACATGATTACAATATACGGGTATCTTGTGCTGATGGGCTGCCCTGGCTCCGGCACTCTGGGTCTCGGACCCCCATGCAAACTCCACCCCTCACTCCAAGAGTGTCCAGGAGGACCGGACATTGTTATTCTTCCCTTACTTCTGCTTGAAAAACAAAGCGATACAAATGAGCATTCTCAGACCAGCTCCACCACATCCTCAGACGGAACTCAGCCCCCTGGCCACATCAGCTAAACAGAAGTATTATTTAAGGCTGTGCCTGCCTGAAAGCAGGGCTGGGCCAGATCACCCTCGGGCTCCCACTCAGCTCTGAGATCAGGACTTAAAATATTTTGTTTGGAGAGAGTAGGGCCAACAATGTACATTGGGGTTTGAGCCCTGAAGCTGCAATTCTCAGACTATAAATACATGGGAACCGCCTGGGTTCTTGCAGAACCTGCTGGGCTCCTGCCCCAGGGACCTCCCCCTGAACGCTCTTTCCCAGCGATGCTCCCGCACATGCTGATCCTGCTCTTGAAATTCTGCTCCTCCTCCTCTTCCTACCTTCCATTCGCCCGCAAGCCAGGGTCCCGGTGGGGAGTTGGTGACACGTCCCTTACTATACGGTGCAGAGGGTGCTGGGATTTCATTTTCAGTTCCGTGCTCCTTCTCCCTGCGGGCCACCCAAATAAACATCAGAGGGGATGAGCCAGGTTCAAGAGCCACTTAGAAGGTGAGACAACAGAGCCTTGTGAGGAATCAGTGAAAACCACGAAGAGGCAGCCCATGGCGCCTGGTGTGAACGGAGTGCTCCCAGCTCCCCGCCTGCACTGGGTTCCCTTTTCTCTCTTGCATCAAAAATGCCACGGGGGACAGGGCCACAGGAGCAACACTGACCACTGGCTTCACCGGCTGACATGCAGATCCGTGCCCACAATTTATAGAACTAGAAATCAACTCACCATCCTTGAGTGAGAAGCTCAGAAGGTCCTGAGGGAAAAGAAACAGGAATTAGCATACGCTGAATATGTAACCAGCCTGCTCATTTGACAAATATTTATTGACTCTTACTAAGCGGGAGAACAGGGCAGACAAAACACCCCTGCCCTGCATTCTAGCAGCGCGCCAGAGGAACAAGCAAGCAAATTCCCGAGTTAGTGTGTGAGAATTTCAGGGAGTCAGATGAAGGAGGGGAAGGACTGTTTCAAAATCTGTTCCCTTGACCCACCAACTGCTGTGTCACAAGCTGCCTGCTTCAAGTGCACACAGAGCAGGTGTGCACTTCCAAGAGGAGGCACCACAGCTGGGCAGTCAGGAGCGTGGGCGCTGGAGTCAGACGGCCAAGGCTCAGACCAGCTGTGTGACCTTGAACAAGTCACTGAACAGCTCTGTGCCTGTTTTCCTATCTGTAAAATGGGGATGATCATCCTACCCACCTAATAAAGTTGCTCTGAGAATTAAATGAGTTCATATCTGTAAAGGTGTCAGCGTATCATAGGTGCCGTTTAAGTAATAAATCAATGGTAAGTATTCAATAATGAGAATTCAGCATTAGCTAAGATCATCATCACCATACGATATTATGATGAAATATTTACTTTTTCACCTCCCCTACCCCACTGGAAGCGGTTTTCAGACTGACTTTGAAAGGAATTCGTTCTACTTCCCCAGGCAGCCGCCACCTGGGTGGTGGGTGTACCTGAGTGATCACCAGGGGGTCGTCCTTCAAGATGGGGTCCTTCGATAAAATCTGAGCAAACATGTCTGCTCCTTCGCCTCCCAGGCCACTGGCAAAAGCAGTCATGGTTGGCAAGACGGCTTCGGACAAATCCAGCCACTTCACCAGGCCAGCCACGAACTCCATGCAGAAGGGTCTGAAAGACAGACACAGCTGAGACCCCGAGGCTTCCTGGACCGCGCGTCTCACGAGGCCGCTGGGAAGTTGAGATGAGATGAGTTCAGGGATGTGAAGGGCTGGCCTATACAAAAACCATGGTGACTTTGGCCCGTGGAATACAGAGAGAGCCAAACCCTGATTTCAGGTGTGTGGATTTTAGCTTTTTCCTCCATCAAAACTTTGACCACAGGGGCTGATAAACCACAGGAAAGAGGGCAATGACCAGCTACTGACCACATGCCCTGGGCCCGGCCTGAGCCGGGGGTTGCGCTGGGGGCTGCGGAACCACAGACAAGCAGGTGGCCTCAGATGAGAAGCTCACAGAAGGGCAGAGACTCGGATGGGACTGACTGATCCCAGCGTCGCGTGGTATGGGGCAAGAATCAAGCCCTGACGAGTCCAGAGAGGGAGTCCCCAAATCTGCCTGTAGGGAGGGGCAGCGAACAGAAAAGTCTTCCCTCAGGTGGAGATTTGCTGCTGCTGGAAATGGCCAAGGACATGCCTTCTGGAAACAATAAAATGCAGAGGAAGTCCGTCCTCCCATTGTGCTTGCAGACATCGTGGGGTCTCTGTCCACAGCAGGCATTTGAGTTGAGTCCCACGGGAGTGCCTGGGCGCGGGATGGATGGGATGCTCCAGGGGAGAAGGGATCCCAGGAGCTGCAGGGAGCACATGGCATCTTGGGGACTCCAGCTCTGATTCAAAGCCACCACTGGCGGCAGTGAGGGGTGAGGTGGGGGGGGTTGGGTGGGCTGGGGATACAGAGCAGGGGAGTCAGAGGGGAGGTATTAGACCAGTGCAGAGAAAGGGCTTCCCAGAAGCCAGCAGAACTCCCTGGTGGCAGAAGCGACCTCAGGAGGCTCCCCACTTGCATCAGTCCCCATGGATCCCAGGCAGCCCACTCGTCATTCCTTAAAGTTGCGGCTGCCAAAGCCCCAGGGGAGAGATCGCTGCAGCCCAGCCACTGACAGGAGTGGTGAAGGACTCAGGCTCAGATCTTGGCCTCACCACTGTTTTGGTCCAGGGCCCCAGGAAGCAGCTCTGAAATGATTACTGGGGATTCCTTTGGGGTCAAGGCCTGTGAAAGGACAGGGAGGATGCCAGACTGGGCGGGGACGGGGACAGTCGAGCTTTGACGCAGCCTCTGTGCATCCTCTGAAGATGGAGTGACCCTTGAGAGCTGCCCCCAGCGGGGCGAGAGGGCTGAGGCTTTATGCCTCCACAGAAGACAGTCATCGGACAAAGGCTGTCCCAGGAAGGGGGCAGAACCTTGCGTGACCTGGCTTTCTTCAGGCTGTGATGGCCTGGGAGGTGCTGGCAGCCCTCCCAGCTGCTGGGGGAGAGTCCTTCATTCCCAAAGGACACCGAAGTGAGGCGGTGAAAGGACTCTGATCTCTCTGTGCCTCCATTTCCTTATCTGCCAATGTATCTATGAGACCAACTTCAGAAAACAGTTTGAGAATTAAATGAGATGATACCCACCCTGAGCAGGGCTTGACATGGAGAAGATACTCAACGAATGTGAGCGGGCATCACTACTTTATTTATAAGGCGACCAATGGAGCGGCGGAGAAGAGGATTCATTGTCGGGCTCTGAGGTCTGACCCCCTGGAGGAGTCCCGGCTCCTTGGGTGACTGGCTTTGTGTCCTTATTCCACCCTCCTTAGCTTCGTTTTCCCCTGTTGTAAAATGAGGATGGTAATAGGGCCTGCTTTGCAGATTGGCTGGAAAGATTAAATGACATGGTAATAGTGCCT